ATAATGATGCCTTGGTAGTATCCCTCCAGGTTAGGGAATGCCAAGTGAAATGCATCCTGATAGATCAAGGCAGCTCTTGTGACATCATGTATGTTAGATGTTACAAGCAGTTGGGCCTTCACCCAGACGACATGGAGCAATCGAATGGCCCGATGGTCGGCTTCAACGGAACGCCAACGTGGCCACTTGGCGCAACAAGCTTGGAAGTTCAAGCCGGCACGAAGAAAATCAAGACGGAATTCATTGTGATTGATACATCCTCGCCGTACAATATCATCCTAGGAAGGCCATGGTTGCATGCAATGGGGGCAGTTCCCTCAATGTTGTATCAACTGCTACGGTTCCCAACAGAACAGGGGATTGAAGAAGTCAGAGGAGATCAACTGCAGGCAAAGAATTGCTCTATGGCAGCAATGAAGTCCACCTGCAGCATACGAAAACCAGAGAAGGCAGAAATTGAAGATGAGGACGTAGAAGTCCTAGAAGACGTCGGCAAAGAACCAGCCGAGAAGAGCGAAGAGACGTTAAAGAAAATCCTCATCCAGGATGGGGATGAAGAACGGTTCTTTCTTCTCGGCTCAGGCCTAGCCGAAGAAGAGGAGAAAGAGTTGGAAACTTTTCTAAGAACCAACATTAAGGTGTTCGCCTGGACACCTTACGAAATGCCTGGCATTGACCCCGAGGTCACTTGCCACAGACTGAATGTCGACAGGTCGGCAAAACCTATGATTCAACGAGCCAGAAGACCGACGTTGATGCACATCGAAGTAGTAGAAGAAGAAGTAGACAAACTTCTGGAGGCCAGGGCCATCCGAGAAGTTCACTACCTGACATGGCTGTCCAACACAGTAGTAGTGAAAAAGAAGAACGGCAAATTGAGGTCTGTGTAGACTTTACCAGCCTCAACAAAGCCTGCCCCAAAAACAGCTTTCCTCTGCCCAAGATTGACCAGCTCGTAGATGCTACTTCAGGGCATGAAAGAATGAGTTTTCTGGATGCATACAGGGGGTACCACCAGATTGTCATGTACCCTCCAGACGAGGAGAAGACTGCGTTCATCACCCCTAAAGGCCTGTACTGCTACAAGGTAATGCCTTTTGGGTTGAAAAACGCAGGAGCAACTTACCAAAGGTTAGTAACAAAGATGTTCAAGCACCTGATTGGCAAAACGGTAGAAGTCTATATCGATGACATGGTCATGAAGACCAAGGAATCTAAGGGTCATCTTGCCGACCTAAAAGAGGTCTTTGATATACTCAAAACATACCGGCTCCGACTCAACGCATCAAAGTGCGCTTTTGGAGTTGGATCAGGTAAGTTTTTAGGGTATCTGGTAACAAGAAAATGCATTGAGGCCAGCCCAGACCAAATCAAGGCCATCCTAGAGCTGCAGAGCCCGACGTCGGCAAAACAGGTTCAGATGCTTACTGGAAAGACCGCAGCCCTAAACAGATTCATCAGCAGAAGCTCAGATAAGTGCAGACCCTTCTTCAACTTGGTGAAAAAAGCGACAGACTTTCTGTGGACAGAAGAATGCGAAGCCGCTTTAACCGACCGGAAGAAGTACTTGACCACAACTCCGGTTCTTTCCAATCCAGAACCAGGGGAAGAACTGTTTTTATACTTGGCAGTTTCAGAACACGCAGTCAATGCAGTACTAATCCGAGAAGAAAAAGGGGAGCAAAAAGTTATCTATTACGTAAGTAAAACCTTGGCCGATGCAAAAACAAGGTATCTACCACTCGAGAAATTAATGCTAGCCTTAGTAATGGCTTCAAAAAATTTGAACCATTACTTTCAGGCGCACAAGATTGTGGTCCTAACAGAGCACCCACTGAAGTCCTTGTTGCAACAAGGAGACTTAACAGGAAGGTTAGCAAGATGGGCAGTAGCCCTGGGCCAGTATGACCTGGAGTTCAGGCCGAGAACAGCAATTAAAGGCCAAGTTTTGGCCGACTTCGTGGCAGAATTCACACCCGAAACCATCAAACATTGGGCTCCGTTGAGCCAGGATGAGCATTGTCCCAGCAAGCAAGGAGAATCCCAGCCTAGGGCAAAAGAGCAAAGGAAGGAAAAACTCAGACCCTGCAGCATCTACATCGGCGACTCCTTCAGACTATTCATCGATGAAAGCTCAAACCGACAAGGAGCAGGGGCAGGAGTACTGCTGATATCTCCAGATGGAGAAATTATAGAACAGTCCATCCGTTTAGGGTTCAAGGCCTCAAACAACGAAGCGGAATACGAAGCATTAATTGCAGGGCTAAAACTGGCCGCGGTAGCAGAAGCAGCTGAGGTAATAGTTTTTTGTGATTCACAACTTATTGTTAACCAGTCAACAGGCGAATTTGCAGCTAGGGATGAAAGGATGTCGGCATATACAAAAGAGGTCATCAGATTGGCAGCCCTATTTTAGAACTGCCGACTACTCCAAGTTAGCCGAGATGACAACACCCACGCCGACGCGTTGGCTAACCTGGCAAGTTCAATGCAGACTGGAAAAACAAGGACAATTATGATCGACTACATGTCGGCCCCGAGCATAGACAAACAAAGCAC